CACCTGTCCCCGCTGTCACCTGCTCGTCGAGGTCTGGTGCTCTAAGTCCCTGTTCCGGGAAGAGGTGGCTTTTGAGGCCCTTCTGACGGTGCGGGATGAGAACTAAGTCGAGCCTCGGTGGGGGGCGGCTGTGTCTCAGGTGGTTTCCGGGTGACGTCCACGCCCAGGTCCACATGACCGGACCCGCGGGTATGCTCAGTGCCGCCTCGTGTGCCGCGCTGGCGTGGCACCTGAGCGTGCGTGGCAGAGCAAGCCAAGGTGCTGCCGTGTGCACGGACCCGTAGGGACACCCAGTGCGGGCATTGTAGAGGCGGACGCGTGTCCAGTCAGGGGTCTTCACGGTCACTTCAGGGTTGCATCGCCTGCACGTCCCCCTCAGGAGCTGTAGGCGTGAGCGAGTGCGTTGCCCCAGTACAGGGTCAGGGCGAGCAGCTGAGCCAAGGGCACTCGGCTCAGAGGTGCCATGTTGCCGTGCCCCTCCACCGTCTCCAGTGCCCGCTCGGCCCTGAGGCGGGTGCTGCCCAGAGTGCACCAGGTCTGGGCTTCGAGTCCTGGCGTGGCAGTGTCTTGCAGCATCTGCATCTGAGCACCAGATGGTCTCCCTGCAACCCCAGGAGGTCTCCCCACACTCTCGCCGCCCCCAGGGTGTTCCGTGTGCTGGCCCAGAGCTGGGCAAGTCCTGGATGCCCACACGAAACTGGCCTCTGCGGGCCCGGGAGGAGACGGCTGTGGGCACACTGTCCGGCCTGTGGTCGGCGCCAGTCCCTGTGCAGATGACGTCGCGGAGATGAGGGGTGGAGCTGTGTGTCTTCCACGTCCTCACAGAGCAAGGCCCCACGTAGACGTGCATCCCACGAATGCAGTTCTTACGCGTCGACTGAACGTAAAACCGTTTAAGAACCGTTACTGCGGAGACATGGAGTGGCCTCGTGCTGCCATCGGGTCGTGTGACTGCCTGCTCCAGACTCTGGTCCTAGAGCACTCCGACACTCGGAGTAGAGTGAAGTGGAAGCGAAGTTGTCTCCAAGCACCGAGGGACTTAGCCGGAACCGTGAGGCGGCCCAGGGAACCACACCGGGGCTGTGGTCTAATGTCAGTGGGGCCAGGCAGTGGGCAGTGGGGTGATGGCAGGGAACCAGACCCACCTAGGAGACGTCCTGTCCATGCCCAGGACTCCCTGAGCACGCTGGCCGTGTGCCCAGGACCCAGGCTGGCTGTGGTAGGAGGACCCCCCCTGGTGCCTTCTGTCTGCTGCTCTCCCTCATGGAAGAGATAAGTAAATAAACCTAAAATCTAATATGGCTGGGACCAGCAGTTGGCGTAATGGCTCTGTTGCTGGACTCCCGTGTAGTCAACCGCGGTTCGAGTCCCGGACCTGGTGGCTTAAACCCGCGCCAGGCACATGTATATGCGTGCCCAAGATCCTGGGAGAATGGAGGAGAAGGGATTGCAGCATGGCCATCCCTCCTGGGGGCTGATTTCTCACTTCCTGTCTCTCCCTATTTTTCTGGCAAGCGCACACACACCCGATAGCAAAAACCTGTCCCAACCCCCCCCCCAAAAAGAACAGATACAGTTGTGTTTAAATCATTCACCTCGTCCTCTGACCTCACTTGGGGTAGAAGGTTCTACCTACAGACTTTCAGATCAGTGGAAAAAATGCTTCTTTAAACTGCTGACAATTCCGACCGGACGCCTTTGCGAAATGCATCACTCGGTCCGGGCCCTGCGTAGAGGGAGGCGTGCTGCGTGACTAAGCTGTGGGATGCCCGGCTGCAGGCTCCTGCTGTGAGTGGTGGTGTTCCACGGGTTCCAGACGGCAGGTCCCCCTGTCCCGCAGACAGCAGATGCCACTCTGACCTCTCCTTGGCTTCGGCCCTGCTTCTCCTGGTGCTTCCTCGTGCCGTCCTGGCCTGGGGCTCTTGGCCTTCCCGTTGTCACACCCACCGTCCAGGGCCAGCGTCTGGCCTCGATTCTACCTTCAGCAAGAAGCTGAAACGAGCCGGTGGGCTGCCAAGCAATTCAGAGTGATCAGGCATGGAGGCCTTCCCCGTGGCTGTGGCCTTTCTGAGGGTGGCCGGACACCGTTCTGCCCCGAAGCCTGCGTTTCCTCTGGGGTTGGCGGCTCTAGCATTGTGCCATCCCACCTGCCGCTCGACCAGGTCACCCCGGAGTCTCAAGCAAGCGTCTGGAGCGCCCCTCCCTCCGACAGACGCTGCGTCCTCTCTTTGAGCCCCACTGTGCCATCGGTGTTTCCGGAGGGAGCCCTGGCTCCCTGTTGTCCATCACGCAGGGTTTGTTAAGACTGCTCAGCCTCTGTGGCCTGCCAGGGGCTGTACCCA